CCCCCAACGTTCATGCAGCCCCCCGCCATGTTACCCGTAGTAATCAAAAGGGCTGAGCAATCGCCGGATTGCCCAAGCCTAGACAACACTAGATGCGAAGGCTGGAATAGAAACACAGCCAGTAATTTGGGGCCTTAGCCGTTGCGTTATCCGGAGCTTTTAAGCTAACTTGAACCTCCGAAAGCAATTTTCTGCAGATGAAATTTAACCTTGTTCCGAAGGTCTTCTAGGTTAACTAATATTACAAGTGCATAACCACAGGAACTGTGACAATTTTTCTCATGTTCTTATTGCGTAGAATGGTATCGCGTATTTCTTTCTTCCACCATGTGCGCACTTCTACTGGGCTTGTTTATGGTCTGTACTATAATTACTATTTGACATTCATCAATCGGCTAAACACAACAAAGCTGTCGTCATGGCATATCTACATCACCATCATCATCTTCACTATCGCAATCTTCATCATAACCGGCGACAGCTTCACGTCAGTGGTGAACGTGGATGCTTCGCTAGGGTACAAAATAATTTATTTGAAAGCTCAGCTGTGAATGAAACAATTAGTTTCGGTGATGAAAGGAGTTGGTGCTAGCTCACTATAATCCTTCTGAACTGCCTACCTCTCCAAGTATTGTTTCAGGTACCCGTGAGAAACTGACAACGAGGACGCGAATGACATCAATTAACAGCCGAATCTGCCAGCGTCACAACTTGATTTTGCTTGAAAAAAAATTATAAGAATCTGCGATGTTTGCGTGAGATTTTAGCGCTTCGAATACAAAATGCACATTTTTAAATTTTGTTCAAATCGTTGTTATATTCAAACGATGGGTTCATGAACTCTGGATGTGTTTCTACACGTCGGTCCTGGACACAGCTAACCTAGATAATGAGCACCTCGAAGTATTTCGTGCCGCATTGATCAAGCATTGGATCTTCTGTCGAAGAATATGTTTGGTTCGTCCGCGGATGCACGTAAGTTCACGCCAAGGTTTTTACCACCTTAATTTTGTCAACGAAGAATTAACCGTGCATCCTCATGCCATGGCACTTGTTCTGATTTTGAACCTCAACATTCGTTCTATAGGCTCCGCTGAAGAGGTGCTGTTGTTATGGATTTTCGCTCGGTTATTTTTGGCTACGTATCAGACTCTTCTTAAATGGCGTGACCATATTACCCCACTTTCCACCATCTGACATCATCCCATATCTTGCCCCATATAGTGTACAGCAGTTCTGCAAGAACACGTTGGACATAGTTCAGTGATGTGACACCATTCGGTGATGGCGCGAATTACGACCTTTTGTGACTACGTACACAATTTTATGTAACAGGACAAACGAGTCCTGTTACTAATGTCCTGTTACTAATGTCCAAAATAATGCCACGGCATTTTGCCTCATTCCGTCATTGAGATTAAAAGTCACGTTAAACAACCGTATACTCATTCAATTAAGGATTGCTTAAATGTGTTTCTCAGAAGAGAAGGAGTCATGAGTGAACGTTGGCCTTCTCAAAGAAGGACATATTTTTTCAAACACAAAAGTAAACTTTTGGTTTGACATTTCAACTCTCTCCAGGGACAAAGTGTTCTAGCATAAAATTGGATTTGTCTCCAGAACGGTGACCGAAAATTCCTCTAATGAATACCACCCTACAGCCCGGCATCTGGCTGGGCGCTACCCACAACCACTCCCCGTATGCAGAGTTAATCCATGATTCCACTGTGTGAACCACAGTGTATTTGTATTGCCTAAACGAGCAAGTTGGTTAGGTGCTTTCCTTTCGCATACCAACTCCATGGATTTCCTCGGAGTCTCTAATTCTTATCGGAAGTAGCTCAAGGTTTCGTTCGATCGCAAAACTCACCCATCTTCGATAAACTGCAACACCTCATTCTAAAACTGCACCCAGACTTTCAAGATGATTACGCTGGATTATGTGATACGCACATCCATTTATTGCCTTCCAGGAATTGTTTTCGTGCCCAGTTCGAATTATCATACACAGATGTGGACAGAAATTGACACAGCAGAAGGAACTTAAAGCTTTGCTGAATTATTTGAATACTATTGGTGCTTCCAGAATGGGGTCTACTTGACTCTCCCAGAGCTTGGCTAGAGACACCGAATGATATGTCATCCCAGCGTTGCCATTGGCATT